ACTCAATCTTCAATATGGATAATAGTTCTTTTGATATTGATACTAATTCATCTGATATGTATACCAAGCCTCTGGTATGGATATCAGCTCATCCGGTATTGATGTCAATCCCTATAGTATCAATACCAACTTATGGGTATCGATATTGAATTTAGCTTCAATGTTTGAGAAATTACTCCGATATCGGTACAACTACCCTCAATACAGATATTAAGGGACCAATATTAATACCAACTCATTCGGTATCGATACCACTCCCTAAGAAATCAGATTTTACTTAAAACATTTACAGCCTTGGTCATATTCATATATAAAAAAAAAATAGTAGAAAAATATTGTTTGAAAGTAAAGGATAAAGGGTATCAGACGGGTCCTTATTAATATATAATTTTTTAAATATATATATATATAATCATCGTAGTCAAGAAAAAAAATAAAAGATAACATATATAAATTTTTTATTTACATAAATGGTACATGTTAACTTATAAACCATTTCAGAGTGTAAAACAATTAATAAGGGCCCAACCGGGTTCGAACCGGTGACCTATTGATCTGCAGTCAATTGCTCTACCACTGAGCTATAGACCCATTGATGACATTTGAACCCACAGTTTGTTTTAGGGTTAATAGAATTCACCCTCTCAAGCGTAGAAGAAGAAGAAAGGGTAATTGAAATGTAGAAAGTAATGTGTAGAAACTAAAACAAGCATTGGACAAATACATGTAGTGATTGAAATCTATGGTTTGATAAAATGATCTCATCTTCATCCTCTGGAAGATATTCCATTGATGAATATTGTATTTTCTTTAAAACAGACATGCGAAGATCATGTTTGGATCAGCATATTGCTTCCTTTGACTTTTTTTGGTTGTTTACCCCATTAAAACTTCACTTTCTTGTTCCAAGTTGTATTCTTTTTGTCGTGGAATGTAAATTCCTCATGCATAAGTGTGTGTAATCTCATTGTTGAATGCTTAATGGTGTGCATGGTGCTTTCCTTCGTAGAGACACGCATGGCTAGCTCATGTTGTTTTTAGAGTAGATTCATGCACGTACCATGTTTCATGTAAGCATGCTTACGTATTTATGTGTTAATATATATATAGTTATATGTCCTAATTAAGTATGTACATGCATATGTGTATTTGTATATGTGGCTATATACCTGGCAAAATATATTCATATGTTTTCGACTTTAGGATTTTTTTTAATAGTTAGACGTAATTACAAGGTGGTATATGTTCATAATATTTTTTAGTTAGTAACAACACACTTAGCTGAAAAGCGTCGAAATTGTCCAATAAAATACTCATATTCTCTATAAAAAAACTATAGTATAGAGAAGTAAGGTCAATCCCCACTAACTAAGGAAATTTCAATATTGTCTTCTCGTTTCAATCCTTGATTTAAATGTGAAATAAACAAAGAGGGTTTTAGAATAAATGATAAAGTAATGACAAAGAATAAATGAAAGTAATAGATGATAAATAATAAAAAATTCAATTGTGAATATTTAGCCCTAGGCTTTGTTAGCCTCAGTTTCGATCGATCAAAGAGATTAATTTTTCCTCGATAGTACGCTGGTTACAATCTACAGGACCCAACCCCACAACTAACTCTTCTCTTTGTTAATCGAATTTTCAAGCTAATCTTTTAAATTCGATATTTGATGGTCTAACCACGTCTATCGTTATTAGCACCACGTCAGCTTTGAGTTCTAGAAGAGCCCAACTTGATTAATAATGTCCCCACGAGAATCGAACTCGATCTTGTTTCACCTTAGCCGACCACCGCTAAGTTTGTTCACACAAAGCCGAATTACGATCTACCAATCCGACTTCCAAACCGCAAGCCAAAACAACTTTCAAGTCAACGTCAACTTTTTGAGTTGAAGGTGTCGTAACTTTTAAAGGAATGGTCGATTACACTCTTAATTTCTAGATTATTAAAGAACACTATTCGATTAAATATTATATTAATTAATGTAATGTTTATACTAAAATTAACAAAATAAAACCATAAACAATCGAGTAATATAATAAGAAAATCCTAATACATTTTTCTCAAGTACAAGATTTTATGCTTTTATCTTATTAAAAAGTGTTTATTATTTATTTGGGTAATTACAAAAATGGTCCCTCGACTATATGACACTATTTTGTTGAGTCCATCGACTATTAAAAGTTATAAAATTGCTCTCAGACTATATAACGTTGCTTTGTTGAGTCCCTCAACTGTTAAAAATTATATAATTGTCACTCAACTATTCATGTGTTCCAAACTCTTTCGTTTTCGGTAAAAAATTGATGGTCGTATGATCTAGACGTTAACATATTGATTGAGATATGTTAGTCATTTGAAATTATGAGATCATATTTTAATATATCTCAGTTAACATGTTAACGTCTAGCTCAGGCGACAGTCAACTTTTAACCGAAAAGGAAGAGTTTAGAATATATGAATAGTCGGGTGACTATTATGTAACTTCTAATAGCCGAGGGACTCAACAAAACAACGTCATATAGTCAGAACCATTTAATAACTTTTAATAGTCGGATGACTCAATAAAGCAACACCATGTAGTCGATCGACCATTTATGTAACTTACCCTATTTATTTATGAAAACCCTTGATTTTAATTTATTATTGTCTCTAAATATTTCATAACTTAAATATGGGTGGAAAAAATAACGACAAAATCGGACATCAACAGATATATTGTCGATATTGAGGTTTTATCCAATTGAAGTTCATAATTTTTCTCATATTTAAATAAGTAAAATTCAAAAATAAAAAGTAGAAACCAGTGGTTTATGTATTCTGTAAGTACCCTTTAAATATAACCCACATCCATGGCTGCAAATATCCATCCCCTTTTCTTTGCTTTCAATATCTTTCTCCAAATAAATTAAGCTTTTTTTCCTCATAAAATCTTAAGTCTCCGTCGGAACGGAAATGGCTTCGAGTACTATATATGCAGCGATCCCGGTGGCTGTCGTCGGAGTTTGTTCTTTTGCTCGTCGTCATTCTGAAACCAAGGTTATTAATATTTTTTTTTCTTCTCTTTCTTTCTGTTTGATTTTGAGAAAAAAGAAAATATTAACAATAGAAATTTAATTTTTTTTTAAATCAAAGTTATTTTTTCTCGTTAATTTTTTAAAAAAATTAAATTCTAACGGTACTTATAATTCATTTTTGCTAATTTAAAAGTAAACATTTATCTACTAAAAAAGATAAAACATTTATTTCATATATTTTAAAATTTAATATATAAAAATAATTTCGAATTAAAACTAAACTAAATTCAATAAATATCGAACGTAAAACTACAACCCTAGCCTTTCTATCTTCTTTTTTTTTCCGAATAATTTAAAGTGACTATACGATAGTATCTATTCCGAACTTTCTTAACCAATCGACAACGCACACACTGCAGCCTAATTGCACAAACTCGAGATCTCTAGGGATCACTAAGGTCACTTGATTGTTCCAGCTACTTAATTATTGGTTTAATGTGTTCAGGATTTTGAAGGTTCTAAGGTGCGATCGTCTACCGGAAGTATGTCAGCGAAACGAGACCAAAAGGTGGAGAAGACAGTGTCGCCGCCTCTGAAAGTGGCTCCTCAGTTCGATGGATTGAACTGTTTTGAAACCTTGGTGGTTCATTAACGTTTTACTTGAATTGTGCATCGTTGCGGGAAATTGGCGAGGACACACGCCGAAAACTGTGACCGTCGAGAATCAAGATATATAATTTGTTAATTTAGCATAATATTTACTTGGAGATTGTGTATAATTACATACAATAAATCTTTTAATAAATTGATTTTCTTTTTGTAATTATGCTTATTAATCATTTGTGTATTTCTTTTCTTTTTCAAATATTCACTCAATTTTTCGTTTTATTTTTCAAATATTCACCTCGTCTATTAGTTTTTCCAGATTTGAAGAAATCAACTAGAGTCTTTCGATCTCCACATTGGTTGCATGATTATGTATGCTCTTGTCAATCCTTTGATTCTACCTCACGAATCCTATTTCTAATCAAATTTCATATTCTCATCTTCCACCCCATATTCAAGCTTTCTTAACATCTTCATCTACTGTTGTGGTACCAAAAACTTTTTCTCAAGCACAAAAAAAAACCTATATGGGTTCAGGCTATGCAAAAGGAGATTCAATCCCTTGAAAACAATCATACATGATCTTTAGTATCTTTGCCACCTAATAAGACCACTATTGGCTGCAAGTGGGTCTATAAGGCTTTTGCTTAAAGTTAGACAATTCGTTGATATCCTAAAAGTCAAAGAAACAAGGTATCATACCTCGTTCTTCAGCTGAAGCTGAATACATGAACATGGCGGTGGCAACTGCTGGAATAGTTTGGCTAGCTGGATTATTGAAAGAACTGGGGATGAGGTGCAGAGTGTCAAACAAGTATGTGTCTACAACAGAGCAGATTGCATATATTTTTACTTACAAAATAGGATCTGTTCTAAGTACTCACAATCATTTGACAACGAACGTTCAATCACCTTGCAGTCATTGGTGCTCGAACCCATGATCTCGAAGAATAACAACGATTCCTTTAACCACTGAGATAAGTTGGTTCGTACCTAGCTATATAAGAACTATGAATGTATTTGTAGATAACACGAAATAAAGTGAAAATTTTCCCAAATACGTTTTACCACGTCACTATATCTAATCGAGGGGAAAAAAAAAGAAATGTCACTAAATACATGAAAACCGTCAATATAGACCCAAAATGACCTATACCGACGGTTATCGGGCCTGCTTAAAAACTTGTCAGCTTATATTTGTGTCGGGCCTGGGACATCATATGTCGAGAGACTCAGCAGCAGAAGATCCATGGAACGGGCCTAAAGGAGCAGTCCGATGAAGAAGAAACCCTCATCACTATAAACCAAACTCCTCAATAGATTACAAGCCACTGTCGATTGTTGTAAGACGCACTTATCTTAAGATTATTATTATTATCCATATCTATAGTTTTCCCTCATAATCTTCTAAAGAAATAACAATGTCGCCGGGCCCTGTGGTTGAAGCCTCCCATTCTGAAACTTAGCAAGTTCCTTCTACTGAGGAGGAACCCAAGAAGCAGCCCCAGGTTTTCCTTCCTCTCAATTTCTGTACCTTTTTTTTAAACAAAAGGGGAAAACATGTCGATGTTGTGTTGTTTACAGAGCGAGGAGGAGGGTGTTGTTGAGGACGTCAAGGAAGATGATGACGACGACGATGAGGATGACGACGATGATGATAAGGAAGACGGTGCCCAAGGTTTCTCTCTCTTTAAAATTTTTGTTTGGGTCTTTTGAGTACGAAATTGTCTGTCAGTTTCATAGATTTTGTGGTTAAAAGCCTCTTGAATTGCATTTCCTTATGAAACTGGAAATCTATAATGTGTATGTTATTTCCTGTTACTGGTTCCAAATTTTGATGTCGTCTAGAATTGAATTCCATTGTTGGGTTTTCTGAAATGTTTGTTGCTCAGAGTCCTTAGAATTAGAAGAAAATCTTCTGGTTAATGCTACTTTTTTTGTCTCTTGGAAGCCAACGATTAGGGATGGGCTGAGGGGAGACTGTTTTAGATGTTTATTTTATATTTTCTATTGATAATTTATTTTCTTGTCTTAAAATTTTATAAAATCCGTCACCTAATATAAAATCCTATTTCGGTCCCGTTTGCAATGTACTCTTTCGTATATATTTGATTTCCTAGTTACCTTGATGGCAGCATTTCTTTGTGTTCTGGTGTTATATCGTATTCAACCCATATATGGATATGGGTTATGGGAATATCTCTAAGAACTCTCGAAATTACTCGGAAAAACATGGAAAAGATTGAACATATCCGTGTATAACATATATGTAAACATATCCTTATTCGACACTTTCACCCAAGTCCGAGATCGAATCATTGTTAGCAGGTGCCGATGGAAGTTCGAAGCAAAGCAGGAGTGAGAAGAAGAAAGAGTACGAAAGCGATGTTGAAGTTGGGAATGAAGCCTGTTACTGGTGTAAGCAGGGTCACCATAAAGAGAGCCAAAAATGTATGGATTCTCTGGTTTTCTTTTCAATCTTGTTGAACTACCTGATGAATGGTGAAGAATTAACCTAGTTTCTCTTGGATTCAGATTCTGTTTTTCATCTCGAAACCCGATGTTTTCAAGAGTCCGAATTCGGAGACTTATGTCATCTTTGGTGAGGCTAAGATAGAGGATCTGAGCTCGCAGTTACAGACACAAGCTGCTCAGAAATTCAAGATGCCTGAAATGCCATCTGTGATGGCAAAACCCGACACATCTGCTTCAACTGCTGGTGCACCCGCCGATAAGAAAGAGGAAGAGGAAGAGGAAGAAATTGATGAGACTGGGGTTGAGCCTAGGGACATTGAGTTGGTCATGACACAGGCCGGGGTGTCAAGGAGCAAGGCCGTCAAGGCTCTCAAGACACACGACGGGGACATTGTCAGCGCTATCATGGAGCTCACCACTTAGTTGGACTCCATGTTTTTCTTATCTTCCGCTATCGCTTACGGCCAATGAATTCCGATTAGTTCTGGTAATTATTATCAACGATCGAAGACAATTTTGACAGAATTCATATGCAATAACAATGTTTTTTGTTCTCTTGAAATAAATCAATGGTTTAATAGGTCAATATATATACACAATTCGGAGATAGAAGCAGAGTTATATATATGCTCTTGTATATTAATTAAATAGATATATACAGAAATGTGAGCAATCAAAATCACTGCCGCAGTTTCTAACTAGAAGTGGGCCTCAAAATGAAATGCATGAACTATATACACAACGAATTACAAGATCTTTGATGTGCTAATCAAACCTAAAAACAAGATTAACAGGATGGCCACCCGGAAAACAACGGTGAATAGCTTACGTGAGCGACGAGCTGAAAACTTCGACCACCGAGATGAAGTCTCTTCATGAACTGAAACAACAGACTTGGACGACAAGAAAAGAGTAGTTTTGCTCGAATTAGAAGGGGGTATTTCATGGGGTTCGTCCATGGTGCCACGATCAGCAACACAGCCAACAATGATACCCTTTTCCGCTACTTCTACCTCCTGTAAACACAACTTCATTAAGGTCCGATGCGTATTTGGATATGACAATGGTTTTTATACAAGCATCGGTCACAAACTTCTCACCTTTGTAACAACTAACTTTGAATCATCTTTGTCTGCAAAACTCCAGTTGTTTATTCCATCGTTACAGTGAAGTGCGCCGACCTGAAGGTTACACTGTAGACGTATTCTTCTTGGCGCATTACCCTGTATCATGGAGTTCCCAGTGTCCGGTTGACTTCGAGGAGGGAGAGACCTAATCCTGATTTCAGTGACAGCACTATCAACATTACAAGATGTATCCGTATGGTTGCTGAATTCTCCATCACTATTTAGCACTTTATAGAACGGCACTGTGCTGGAAAAGTTGACGTCTGGCATGCAAATCGGAATTTTGATGTTTTGTGTGCTACCTCGAGGAGCCCCCTTGTTGACTGTGTCTGTCCCTAGCTGTTCCAAAGGAAAATTCTTGTTATGAATGACCATAATTCATCAGTGTACGAGAAGATATAGCATTTGAATCAATCCTGCTACCATACAAGCAAGTGTACATGATATGATAGACAATATGTAACTAGTTAGCTTCTACTCACCAGCACTTCAGCCACTTCACCATCTGATTCACTGCATGATCTGCCATCCTTACCGAAGGTCATGGTCTTAGGATTCTCATATTCCAAATTCTTCTGATTGACAGTGTCATCACTGTGGCAGTCATCGGAATTATTCATGATGGAATCCAAGAAGTTGGAAATATATGCATCATTGTCATTTGTGCCATGCTGAAGCTCCACCCCACTGAAACCGTTTCCAACATGATCAAACATCCAAGGCGCCTGCTCCGCTTCAATCTGATTGTGCAAAGGAGAAAATAGTGGCTCCCCCATGGAATCATAAAAATGATTCAAAGCTTCTTCAAGTAGATCCACCTGAAAATCGAACAACGTCATTGCCATTGATACTACATCAACATATAAATCAAAATTCAGGGTTTCCCCCCTTCTCACCTCTGCAGGGGTTATATCCGCCGCTTGATCCATTTCATCGTAAGCTTTATAGTCATCCCAATTGCACTCGACTTTAGGTTCAACGGCTTTAGAAATCACTGAGCTGAGCTGAACCGAAAGACAAGTTTCACCGACTTCACCTTCTACAACCGGAGAGTCTTGAGGCAATTCTAACACCGATAGCATGTCTTCAGCAGGAGACAACACAGCGGGATCAACTTCATCACCGTTGATATCTTCAATGGTCTCGTCGTGTTTATGGAATAGACGGCAAATTACAAACGTGTTCTGCAGGAGAATCGAAGACAACAATATGAGAACAACATATTAGCACAAGTGAACAGCCAATTCATGATGTCAACTAATTTCCCCGATCATATTTTCCATCACAATAAGAGCTGAGATTCGAAACAAAACAGAGGTAGGGAAGAAAGTAGAAACCTGGCCAGGCTTGGTGCTGTCAAGCTCATCGAGGGTAGTACGGTACTCGTGCATAACCCAATTGGTTCTTTTTCCTCTAGGAGCCCTGCCATTATAGAACACCAGAGTTTTCTTCATGCCGATCAAGCTGGACCCAGACTTAATCTTGCGATCCTTGCCCGTTGCTTTCCAGTAACCGGCCTCGGTCGCCCTGTTGAGCCTTTTGCCGGTTGGGTACTTCCGGTCAATGGGGCAAAAGAAAAACCATTCTGGGTCTCGAGTCTTTATAGCGGATAAGTGAGGCAAATCCCATGGCTCGCATTTGCAAACATCGATCTCACGAATGACTTCAATCTCGTCGTTTTTCTCCCCGTTTATCTTGGCCCGTAAGTAAAAATCGATTAACTCCTCGTCTGTAGGTCGGAATCGGAATCCGATTGGAAGTGAATTCAGTAAGAGAACACCCATGCTAAAAACGCAGCTAAAAACAACAAAATTAGAAGAAAAGAAGGAAAAGAAAGATTTTTTTCGAAGATTTTCAGAACACCCAATGAAATCTTTGTGCTGAAATGGGAGAAGAGAATATTCAAATGGGAAAAAATTAGAATCTGGAAGGATTTAGGGTAAGAGTTTTAAAAGGAAGATGGCCATAGGATTCTGTGGAGGAAACACCAAGGAAAGAGCTTGGAAATTCATCATCGTTTTCTTTTCCAATTTCAATGGCGACACATCTACCCGCCCCGCGTTTCATCCGTGTGTGAATATTTGGTTAAATGCTTCTCTATGTCCCTGTAATATTTAATTATTTGGAATTTGATCCTATTTTTTAAATTCAGGAATTTTCTCTCTCTAATATTCAAATTAATTTTTTTATTCCATTAATAACACCATCAGAGAATTATCCAGTCTATGGTGCGATGACAAAAATTTTCTATTTTAATAAATTCTCGATCAATAATACATTTCAAATAACCAACAACCAGTTGGCCTAGTGGGATGAGACACTGAGTCTCTTAAACAAGGTCAAGGGTTCGAATCCTGGTATTTACGAATGGATCAAACTGGGTTAGGAGTGTCGCCTTCGCATCTGCAGTACCCGATCTGAATTAGTCGATTAATATATCGGATACCAGTGTGATTAATTCAAAAAAAAATATTACATTTCAAATAATCTTTCTTTTTAATGTCTTAAATTTAATTTCATATAAATTATTAATTAAACAAATTTATGTTAGATATAAAATCCGTTAAACATGATTATTACTTTATAATATATGAAAAATTTACGAATTCCAAATTTTCAAATACATGTGAATTATCAAATTTAAACAATAGAATGTGTGTTTTACATCTTTATCACATCAAATTTATTATCCCTGATGTATGATTAAAACGTGTGTTGAAAATTATTAAATCTACTTTAATACCCTCCAACATTTTTTCTCCTTGCAAATCACTCCCTCCAAATTCTAGGCAACAATCATAAAAAAGTTCTAAAAAATTATAAAAGGTATAGTGGTATAATCAATTATCAGTTACTTTAACATCATAAAACGTTAAATCTCATAAATAAAAAATAAATTTAACATTTAGTATTGTAAATGGAAAAATTAAATTAAAAAATCTCTTATAATAAATATTTATATGGTAAAGTACAAAAAAGGCCCTTCGATCATAGGGTATTGCTTTATTAAGTCATCTAACTATTAAAAGTTATAAAATAGTCCCTCAACTATAGAGTGATGTTTTATTGAATCCCCTGACTATTAGAAGTTACAAAATGGTCACTTGACTATTCATATATTCTAAACTCATCATTTTTATTAAAAAATTGGCGTTCGTTTCAGCTTGATGTTAACCTGCTAACTATGATATGATAAATTTATATTTTAATGATGTATATTGACAACATCGTTGTTTTCAAACACTGGCTCGATGACATGATGTAAACGGATAGTCAATCCATAAAACACAACTCAAACGATTTTGATATCAAATTTTACCATATCCTAATCAACAAATTAACGTCTAACTCATACGACTGTCAACTATTTTAGTGGAAAGGGATGATTTTAGTATATATGATTCAGGTGACAATTTTGTAACTTTAATAGTCATTGGACTTAACAAAACAACACCCTATAATCAGATGACAATTTTGTAACTTTTAATAACCGACATCCTCAATAAAACAACACCTTATAGTCGATAGACCATTTGTGTACTTTACCCATATTTATAATAGTTAATTTTTTTTAATAATTCTTACCTAGGGAAGAAGAAGTTTTTCTCATAATGGATATTTCGCAGAGGGGAGATGTCAACAGAGAGTTTTTAATCACATACTTTAATGATTTTTGACTGTAATACTTAATTTTAATTCATTAGCTAATAAATCATGACTATATAAAAAATCCAACATGTATCAATTCAGATTTTTTTTATTAATCTATGATGATTACAATATAGTATATGTTCTAAAGATTTTTAACTATTTGATAATGAAAATTCAAACACTCTTACAAACTCTAATGCTTGAATCTAAAATATTTAAGGATAACAATCATCATTTTAATTACAGAGACAACTTGATTCGTACATACAAAAATTAATTTTTAGTTGTCATTTTTTAGTAAAAGATTCCCTTTTACTTTTCGCTGTTGATGGTTGATTTTGTGTCAATATTCCTAATATTACTCGTTGACGTTCGTTTTGTGTCCACAATTCCTAGAATAAGGTCAAGCATCAAGTAATCTATCCAATAATATTTTAACACGTGGTGATATTGCCATTCTTAAAAGCGTGGGGTCAACACGGCTTACGTGGCTACCTATGAAAGTGCCATGAACGTTACTAGTTACTACCTTGATCCGATTTTATTTCTCTTTTAAGTTTTATGGTTAAACGAGTTAAATTAATAAAATGGGAAATTAAATAAAATTCTACACAGATTCTTACATGGTGAAGCTTTTATTAATTTATGGAATTGGAATTGGAATGGATTATATAAAAATTATTAAATCGAGAAAATTTAATTTTATTATAATTAATTATTTAATTAAATATAAATTAAAATTAGTTTGATTTTATTTTGATTATTGGGTACTTAATTAGGTTTTAAAATTTTAAACATATATATTTAATTAATAAAATTAATTAAATAAAGTTCTAATAAATAAAATATTTAATATATATAGATATAGATATCAGACAAAAGCTATCCACGTGGTATAACATTTTTTAGGATCGTTTGATGAGTGAAAATATATGGTTGAAATTAACAGTAGAAAATGATAAGATATTTGCAGAAAAAAACAATGAGATAATCTCAATCGTTATTTACACTAATCAAAACATCTCAAAAAGGATAAACTAAAAGTTTTATGCTATGTGTAAGTTGATCCTAAACTATTTTATTATTTATCACATTGTTAAAAAAGATATAATAATAAAAAAATAAAGTATATATTCACTTTGACATAATTATCGGGTTAAAATCGAGTTGATGTTTTGTTCAGATCGAATTTGAGTAAATTAAATTCGGATTGCTTTCAGTTTAAATTTCTTTTGACTCAAGTTACTTTCATTTCGAGTTACTTTCGATTTATGTTATCAGAGTAGTCTAACTAAAAAATATATAAATCAAATCTAAATTAATCTAACTAAAAAAATTATAACTTCGACTAATTCAAAAATTAACCAAATTAATCATTTTTTCAATTAATTAATAACTTAAAAAATAGATTCGATTAACGGTTAAAGAAAAATCCGATTAATTCAATTTTGGCTCAACCACCGACCAAATCAACTGATTAAACACCCATAGTTAATGATAAAAAATTTAACTATCAATAGTTAACAATCAACGAGTACAAATCAGATCAAAATGGTATGGGGCAAACCGATCAAAACGGATAAATCATGTTAAAGTGGGTCGACCAACGGGTCATGTCAATGGGGGACGATTAACGAGTTGAAGCGTTCCAGTTCGGATTTTATTCAAAGCGGTTTCAGATTCTATTTAATTACATGTATGAATTTGATTCGGGTCAAATTAAACTTGCCTGGGATTGGAGCGGGTCTAGGTATCAGATTATGGGTATACCCTTTGGGTCAACGGGTCTAATCAGAACTTTATTAAATACTTTCAGTGGTGATAATCGGAGCGTACATGTCAATGTTGCTGAAGCTAGTGAAGCTTCTCTTTCTTCATTCCCGGTAGGTGATAACAGTCATATTTTTATCCCCAAGAAGGCGCTTGCGTGGGCAAAAAGCTGCTTGTTTGGTAAAATTAAGAACCGTTATAACGAGAACATTATTCATTCTGCTTTTAAAGGTGAAGGTTTAGACGTGAAGATTAGCATTTGGCATGATTTGTGGATGATTATTCAGTTTCGTGATGATATTGATCGTCAGGGCTGCTGGACTAAGAGAGATGAATGAATTAGGTTATGGTTTGACGAGCTGGAATTCATTGAGGGATTTGAGACTAGAGCAAAAATTAAAGTGTGGATTTCGCTGAAGGGTGTTCCCCTTACTATTTGGTGTGAGAAGTTTTTTATAGACATTCGGAGCTTGTGGGGTAGGGTGATCCAGATAGACAAAGAAATTGTTGAGCGCGATAGGTTTGACGTAGCACGAGTATTGCTGGAAGTTCAATCTGAAGCTTCTGTTCCTGAGAAGATGTTCATAATTTTCAATGGTTGTTGTTATCCCGTTAAAATCGCTACGGAAGTGCACGAAGAGGCGAGAGCCTTCATTGACGGATCCTTGATGGGGGGAGGAGCGTGTCGAGCAGTCGAAGAAGATGGAACAAATTTGCCCATTTACGAGGTGGAATAGGTTGAAGGTGTTGGACACGAGGGAGTGGCGTATGGGCAAGACCTGATCGTGTCAGATAGCCAGAGGTGTAATATTTATTATGGTTTCTTAGAAGGTGGTTCTGTGCATGCACCAGTCAATGTGGGTGATTTGGATGCATATGAAGAAGGGCTCCACGATGTCCCCATTATTGCTAATAGTGGGCCAGAAAAGCAGCTTGCCCGGGACGAGAGTGTTGGGCTTATATCTATCAATAGGGATAGGGATTTTATTGGTGAATCCCATTCGATTTCCAATCCCCTAAGGCTTTTAGAGGTGCCTATCGATGAGGTGTCTTCTTTTAGACGGATGGATGAAGTCTGATGCTCTATTTTTCGTGATTCTAGGTTTGGGATTTGCAAGAAGCGGATCGATGGTCTTCAAAATTCATTTGTCAATAATTCTCAAAATTCAAGCTTGAGGGAGACAAATACGGTCAGTCTTAAATTATCCAAGAGAAACAATAAAGCGAGAAAGAAGAAGCTCGGTCCCATGGGTCGTGCTTCTCGTAAAAATGCCAACAAGAGCGGGAAACAGATCTTATCAGTAGGAGGGGAGCTAGATGGTGGCACGGAGAGTGTTGACACTGAAGCGGCGAAGGCGCTAGCTATGGCAGAAGCTCTGGGGGTGGACTTTGTGGGGTCGAGAGAGGAGGTGTTGAAAAGGCTGGAAGCAGTCGGCCATGCGGGTTAGAGTTAGTTTCTGCCTCTTGTT